TGGAACCCGTGAAGCTCTTCAAATTCCATCTATAAATACAACACCAATATCATCACCTTCATCTCTTCAACAAACCCAATCCATTAAGCTTTCAAGAACCAAAAAATTCCCAAACCTTCCTTTTTATCTTTAAAAGTTAGCATTTGTACTAGGTTTTCCAACAACCACCATGTCGGTTTCTTTGGAAGCTTTGGCAATGGCGGGGATTACTTCCAATGAGTGGGCTATGGATGCTGAAGAATGGGAACGAAACGAAATCGAGAACGACGTTCCACCGCATTTATTAGCCGATGAAGACGACGACGACGACGATAACGATAACGTAACGAGTAGTGTCAGCAATCATAGCTTCCTGGTCGCTGGATTCTTCGATAGCTTGCGTCGGAAAGATGGCGGAGCCGACGATATCCATTGCTTCTGGGGGATCTTGTGTAGCTTAAGCAAAAGCTTAGAGAAGAGGGCTTCTAATGGGATGAGTTCAGTGAGAATCATTGTGAGAACTATTTTAGGGTTTCTACTGGTGAAGATCATCAAGATCATTAGTGCACACACATCCAATATGATTATTCCTTGATATATATATATATATATATAATTTAATTTATTTTTATTTTTATGAAACTTGACTTCCATATTTTTCATTAACTTGTATATTTTTTTTTATTTTTTATTTTTATAGTTAATTGTTTAGTACTTACGGTATAAACCATAATAAAGTATTTGCCGCTTTGATCTATTATGTATTTTGCTATCTTTTTTAATATTTTTTTTTCCAATACTATCATTTTAGGGTTTCGTGGGATGATGATGCTTTCTCTTAATGATTTATCTCCTCGTATAGTACAAGAAACTCGGGTTGTGTGGCTTTCTCTTATCTAATACGGGTCAATTTTCCCTAACTTGACTTAACAATTAGAGTATCACTTTCACACGATAAGAGTTATCGGTTCAAATTTAGTCGAAGGAACCAACTAAGTGATCGAAGCATAGATTGATACAACAAAAATGGTACTTTTGAAATAAACCTAAAATTAAAGGGTTAAAAATGAAATTTTCGAATGTTCGGGGAACGTAACTCAAATATATCAATCATAATATCCAACAAGACTTAAATGCAACCCTAAACTAATTGCAGCAACACTCTTGGGTTGATGTTCCATTTTTTGTATTTTACTCGAAATCAAACTTTAAGGTATTTCTCACTCATATATAGTCATATGTGTCGGGTTAAAGATGTTTTTGAACACATAACTCCAAAACAATGTTCTAAGATGATTATTTATGCATAGAAATGATTACGGTAGCGATTTTAGATTAAGTAAAAAATTTTGAATCGTTATACTTGAACAGTCTCATCGAACAATATCTCGTTCGAATCTTTAAAAACTAATAATGTACATCATGCATGTAATCATCACAATCCTCCCTAACTTTTCAAGAACATATACATCTAAAACATTAGCAAATTGCATAATATTCACGAGAAAATCACCCCTTTTAATTATATATATCTGACCATTCAAACCCTTAATTTGTTCTCAATTTTGAACAACTTTCTTTTTTCAATATTTGAATCTCTTATGAAACTCGTGAACTTATTTGAATTCCATTATATATATATATATATATATATATATATAACGATATCATCACATTCCATAAACCCAATTAATCTCTCAAGAATCTCCCGACAACAAAGTAGATTTGTACGAGGTTTTCTGTCAGTCACGTCTGTTTCTTTAGAAGCTTTGGGAATGGCCGGGGTTGATTCTAATGAGTGGGCTATGGACGCTGAAGAATGGGAAACAAATACTCATCACGACGTTCCACCTCATTTATTAGCCGACAAAGACGAATCGCCAAAGTCTACTGATAATCGATATTGTCCGCTTTGGCTCGTATTATAGTCATCAGTCTCATAGTTTTAAAACGTGTTTACTAGAGAAAAGTTTCCAGACACTCTTAAGAAATGATTCGTTATACTCTCCAATCAATGTAGTATCCCAGTATTTATATGTCTCCGGTTGGATCCTAGAAAGATACGAACGGGCTGTGTTTGCTGCGGTTTCGGGCGATCATTAGCCATTTTCAGAAAAATCATGGAGAAGAAAACTTCTAGCTAAGAAGCCGATATACTTTCTTTCTTCGATTCATTTTAAGATTTAATTATATATTTGGTTGGTTAGGTATTAAGAATTGTTTCTCAAAAATAGACACAATGAAACAGTCATTTTTAAGCTTTCAATTTATTTTTAATAAATATATAAAGTTATTTTTTTTTGGGTTAAATTCACTCTTTGTGTTAAATTCACTCCAATAAAATCATTACTTTTTAAATTAAATATAAATATAGTAGGCACAAAATTAAAAGTTGAATTTATTATTTAAAAATTTATTAATTAAAGATTAAACGGCGCCGTTTCAACGAAGACCATGGACCTGATTATATGCGAATTAGAACTCAACAAAGAATTTAAATACAAATTTTAATAAATATCAAAAGAGTTTGCTTATAAAATCCTATAAATTCGAAATTAAATTTTTCTTAGGAAGCACGCGATCGATCGTAGAAATGTCACCGAGGCGGGGAGGGATTGGTTTCTCGAGACATTTTTTTTCCTCCATTTTTCTATATTTTTAAAATATACATATTTCTTTGAAAGAAAATTTTAATGAATCTATTTTCTAATATAGTTTCTATTAAAAAAAATATAAAATAGAATAATAAATTCAATAATAATCTCAATTCCCGAACTCCTTTTACCTAACGAAGAGTAATATCTCTCCGTTTCTTCCTTTATTCTCCATTTAAACGACGATTCTCCGCACGTATTGGGTGGATCCCCTCTAAGTTAAATGAACATTTTTATATGAACGATGACAAAACTGGTATTGATTAGTTATAGGTAATGTACCATTAAATGCAAAACTACAAAGTTGATGTGGTCTCTGTCGACATTGATTTTAATAACATTTTGACAACTTTTATTTGGGAAAAAGATTTCAACTTTCGATCCAAAAGAACTAACGCACATCATGCATGCAATCATATAAAAAAAATTCAGGTTTCTCGGAGGTTTCCAACCTTGAAAAGCCTAAATAGAGGAACTTTCTACCTCGACCCTATCCTTCAATGGATACAAAGAGCCACGTACACTTTCACGAGGCCATTCAAAACCCTAAATTTAGTTCTCAAATTTGAACACCCTTTTTCAATGTTTGATTCTCATGGAACCCGTGAACCTTATTCAGCCTCCTTCAAAACCCACGTCTTGGTCTTCATATTCATGCATGCATGCATCATCATCATCATCATACCAACGTCATCGTATTCTTCTAAGTCTACAATAATCTACGTTTGTACGAGATTTTTTTTTGATAACCATGTCGGTTTCTTTGAAGCTTTGGCAATGGCTGGGATTGATTCTAATGAGTGGGCTATGGATACTGAAGAATGGGAACGAGACGAAATGGCGAACGACATTCCTCCACATTTATTAGTTGAAGAAGATGACGACAACGACGACGAAACCGCTATAAGTTTCTCGTCACTAAGTTGTAGCTTCTGCCACTTTAGAAAAAATTATAGAGATCAAAACTTTAAATCGCTTGAGCTTGAGGATCGAATCACTTTCCAATTTCAAGAGAGCCCTACAACAGTGGAATCAGCCAATAAAAGAAACCTTCGCGTAAAGAGAAAGAATTAGATCTCGAAAGAAGTTCGACGTAGAACTTTTTGATTCTTCAATTATATAGCAGCACTGAGCAAGATACAACAATTCCGGTCCCACCAATTTTCACTAGAGTGCCTTAAGTAGCCTTCGAAAAGTCAGTTTATTTTCTCCTCGCTTTACTATGGCAAGAGATATTGTATGATTTATTCAATGGAAAATTATTAACATTTATAAGTTATTTTTAAAATTCATTTTGTTCATATGGGAGGTTGTAATGCTTTTAATCTAAAATTTTAAAAATTATTTTTATAAATAATCGTTCAAAATATCAAATAAGTTTGATTATATATTTATTTATTTTTTAATTAACAAAATTATTAGCAATTTTTATTTTTATTAGTTGAGACATTATATTTAATATTATATAAAATTCATTATAAATTAAAATTTTAAATTTTATTACTCGATATAAAATTTAAATTTGTATTTATTTTCATGAAATTAAAAGTTTAATAATCGAGTAGGAATAAAATAATTTTTTTTAATTAAACATGTAATTTAACTTATTTTCTTAAAAATTAAATGAAGAATATTATCCACAAATGTTTTCCCACTACTTTTTGGTAAAGGATATTTTTTGTCAACCCCTTTTTAAAATTAATATTAAAAAATTAATTTGCATAATTTTGTAATTAAAATAAAATAAAGGTGAGACATTTATAGTTGAGGTGATCCAAATTGAGTGGTTGGGTTAATTAGAGGTTGAAATTAATTAATAATTAATGGAATTTTTAATCTAAAAAGCTTCTAATTAATCCAATAAGGTTTGAACAAAGGAAACATGAAAGAACAAATTTTGTCTACATTATTAATTTAATCATTTTCAGCCATTTTTTAAACATTTCTCTTTATATAATAACATAGTTGTTGCAATTTCAGAAAGGGCTAATAAAAAAAAAATAAGTGCGTTGTAAAAATAAAATATTTTAAAAAATGTGACTCGAGTAATGAAGGGGTACGTGAATGAAATGGGACCACATTTGAATGAAAATGATCTTGAAGATAAGATGACTAATAAAGAAATAAAAGGTACTATCTATACCAATAACTTGTGTTAGTCTGTGGAGATAGTTTTCATTCTTAAGAATAGGTAACGTGACTATGTTGTAGGAGAATGTCAGGATCATACTGGATAGATAAATTTTTAAATAAAAACTTTATGGAATTGAAATATTGTGTTATATTAAATATAAAATTGAATTTTGAATCTCATATATTTATTATTTTTTAAAATTTTCAAATAAAATTGATATTTCTTCACAACATTTAAGAAATTAAAAAAAAAAAAAAACAATAAAACAAACCAAAACAAAGAACTAGGGATCGATGTCACTGAACAACGAATAATCGTTGAACATCAGCTCGTCGGTCAACGGGGCTGATTCTGATTCTGAGTTAGCTTCCACTGGTGGAAGTGGCGACGGAGCATTTGAAGATGAAGAAGAAACCCACATGGAAGCTCCACTTTGGCCGCCGGAAACTGCCGTCCACGTTGGATCATCCGAGGCTCCAAATATCTCCAAGTCCGGCAAATTGGCATAAGGGCCTGACATATTCCGATCATATTGGAGGTGGAAAGTGGGTGTAAAGGGAGGAGGTGGAAGTTGGGGAAGCTGTAAATATTCTGTTGAAGAACATGGATAAAAAAAAAATTTAAATTAAATTTACTTCGAGTGTTTTTCTTTTTTTTCTCGATAAATTTAGTATTTGAGCTTTTAAGCGTCTAATTTAATCTTTATACCTTGTAAAGTTGTCATTTGAAGAGCTTCTAGTTGTTGTTTCAATGTAGGTAGATCAAAAAGGAGAAAGTTTTCGAGATTTGGTGGAGGAAGATGATGAGCGGAGAGCGTATTATCGTAAATTGCGGGCATGTGAGTGACGGGATCAAAACCCATTTTAATGAGCCTTTTTTTGAGATGGGTATTCCAGAAGTTTTTTATCTCATTATCTGTTCGTCCTGGTAAATGGCTTGCAATGACCGACCATCTTCCAACCAAAAAGTACTAGAGAGATTATTATAAAGAAAAGAAAAGGGATTATTATACCGATAAATTGAAAAATAGATATTATAATGTACGTTAATTACTTGTTTCCAAGGATTGAATGAAGATCGAGAATGATTTGTTGTTCCTGTTGAGAAAACTTTCCTCTCTTGATATCAGGTCGAAGGTAGTTTGTCCATCGCAATCTACAACTCTTTCCACATCTATTAAGCCCTGAAAAGAAATTCAAACGAGGAACGAAGATGAAACTTGTTGCATGTCCCAGCCAGACAACGGAGACTATCAAAACGGAGTCAACAACGTCTCAAAATGACAAAACGTGATGTTTACGAATACATAATCTTTGGGACGGGTGAGGGGGGAAGGAAGGGTTATACCGGCGAGAACGGGGAGGGATCGCCAGCTGCCATAGCCATGTTTTGTAATGAAAGAGACAAGTTTGTGATCTTCTTCATGAGTCCAAGGACCTCGTTTGAGGCCAATTTGATTAGAAGAAGGAGGAGATCTTCCCATGTTTCAGGTTTTTCAGTTTCATGAAGAACACAAAGCATATGTTTATATAGGGAAGTAAGAAGGGTTTATTTAAAGTGGTGGCTACCCACATGGGACCAACGTGTTCTTGTCTGTGTTGATATCTAAATGTCAAATGCTATCCCTTTTTATCTACCTTTCCACAATACCAACTGCATTTCTTTTTTGCTTCTTCACCAATTTGTTTTCATACTCGATAAAAAATTATTGCATTACGTTTTTGGATAATAGTTTTCGTGGTTCAGCCAACTTCTCCCTACTAATAGTTATATATTGTGAGCCGTTATTGTTACTCTCTTACTTGCATATATAACATCTCTCTAAATCTCTCTTTTGAAAATCTCTCTCTGCCTTCATTTTCTAAAACCTTCTTCCAAGAGGCTCTAACATACGTCATTTGACCGTAGACGATGTGAGAATTAGCTTAGCTCATTTGTTGCTGGAAAGTGAGTGCCGAAGAATCACAAATCTACTGTTATCAAAAGTGCGATGGTGAAAAAGTGTTTTGTTAATTGAATTTTGATTGCTTTATGGATTGAGTTCGTGGGTAATTTCTTGATTTAAGTTTTAAGAATGGTTTAATTGTGAATCGATCTCAAATTTTCATAATATATGAAACTTACCAAAATATGTTCATTGACAATGGAGAGACAAAAGAACAACATTTGATAAGACTAAGGACAGCCTTTTGGTGGACAATTATCATATGCATTACATACTGTTAAATATGTCAATGTCTTCTATTTGAGATGCCAATACAAGTATCAGTAATGATTGCTCAACTTTTTAATAATCATGATAATAATTTTGCTTTTAAATTTTCTATTTTTGAAGTTTATGATAAAGAATTCTTTATTTATTTATCAACTTTTTACCAATATTAAAAAAAAAAAAACTTATTATTTTTAGTTTTTGGACAGATTTAGAATTTAAATGTTGAAAGAAACAAGAAAATTATAGTTTGAAAATTTGAAAATTTTCAAAGAATATGCTAATGACTAAGATCGGAAAGATATGTGATATTGTTCAACTGTATTTTTTATATTACTTTTTATATTAGATAAATAGTAATGACCATTGATTCAAGATAATATCACATAGACATAAGTATCTACCAGAAGTGATTCAAATTAGAAGAAAAAATTAAACTCGTTAAAAGTTTAAAGATACGATTGAAACCTATTCCAAAGTTTTGGAGTAGTGTGTATAATTTAATCGACCGCTCCCCAACCGTTAAACCAAAAGCCGAAGTCAGCGATCAGAAACTCAGCGCACTAAATCTACATCTGACATAGCTCGACTTTCATTTCACGACACAAAAACATGAGGCATCTCCCAGTTCAAATGCAAAACAACTCGGCTCAGAAAGATGTTGGGTTGCAGAGATACTCTCTATAGAAGGTCAGCTAAGGGGAAGAACAATTTTGTTAATGATCAAAGTAATTTTATCAACTTTATGAAGAAAATTTTCAAACAAAATGTTTGAAGCTAATCCAATATCAACTAGAAAGAACAATGGTTTTTCTCATCCACTAAAATATATAGTTTGTGTTCTTCCGTATGTAAACTAGTACCAAACTTGAGCTAGCACATTCAGAGTACAAACTTGGCCAATTTATGCCCTTCCTATAAACATTAACATTAGAAGGCTGTCAAGCAAACATTGTATTACTAGACTAATTCACTAGATTTCTAACCAGCTTTCCTGATCCGAGTTACAGGTCTATGATTCAAGGCTCCTATCTTATACTGTACTACTATTAATGTAATTTAGTACACGTGCAAATCTACTTACTACTTACTAACCAAGTGTAACACAAATGGCTAAACATCAATATTTCTTCTTTGTTTTTAAGTATAAGAAGTGGAGTACGGAGATATGAATCTCTAACCTGAGCTATGCTCACTTTGGTACATCAAAGTCTCTTCTAACCAATGGTAGGTTCAAGTCTTCTACGAGACAATCCTGTAAAAAAAAAATGTAATTCTAGCTTTGAATTCAAGAAAAAATCATGATATCTATTTTGTCCGATGTAATTGCAGTACGACTCAATGCTTGTGTCCTCTTATGATATCTATTAGATGTGCAAATGATCACCCTTTGAACTCTTTCCAATACTTTTTACACATAATCTATCTAAAATTGGGACTAACCGTGAGATCTCATATCGAGTGCACAAGGGAATAAAACATTCCTTATAAGGGTATGGAAACCTCTCCCTAACAAAAGGGTTTTAAAAACCTTGAGAGGAAGTCCAGAAGGGAAAGTCCAAAGAAGACAGTATCTACTAGCTGTGTAAAGCCTGTTACGAATGGTATCAGAGTCAGATATTGGGTGGTGTGCCAGCGAGGACGCTGGCCCCAAAGACAGTGGAATGTGAGATCCTACATTGGTTGGAGAGAGAAACGAAACATTCATTATAAGGGTGTGAAAACCTCTTCTGACTCATTTTAAGAATCTTGAGGGGAAGCCCATAAAGGAAAACCTAAAGAAAACAATATCTACGGGCAGTGGTGAGCTTAAACGGTTACACTAACTAACTAACTAACTAACTACGAGATTCTAGCACATACCCAGAGGGGGAGAGAGCCTGCACATCATATTCCCTCGAGATAATTTTTCATTCATACAACTAAAAATTCTAAAGATATGAAAAACCAAGTTGTCAAGTGGCAATGGCAAGTCACTCAAAGGCATAAAAACAGCCAGGCCAAGAAAGATTTCTCAAAAATTAACCAATTGTAAAGGAGAGAATCTGCTAGAATTCCCAGTTTTGTATATAATACTAACACAACACAAGCACAGCAAAATCAACCGATGTCATCTGATTAAATTTCTATATGATAAACGAACAAAACTTTCAAAGAAACTTTTTATCACAAGTAGAGATGAGAAACTTAACTCTCAAGAGCTCAACCTGCTGTAGATGAGATTTTGACGGTGTCAATTCGCTCATCCTCCGCCAGAATCGACCAGTTTGGCGACTGCACCGCTCGCAACCAACGAAAATCATCTACATTCTCCCAATTTCCTGTCTCCTCGCCGAGGCTCGCATCTTTGAGATCTTCCTCAATCCCTTCGTAACTCACACAGTATGGCGCGAATCGAACGCTGCTGCTATCTTCAATGATCGGCCTACTCCTGACTCTAAGATAGAAATCACTGTTCTTCGCATTGTGAATCCGAATTTGATGGGAAGCCATTGCAAATGTACACCCCTCAACATCATCGATTAGAATTGAACCCATTACAGGTCCCGTATAAACTTTGCAGTTTCTTAGTTTATGAATAAATAACGCCCTAATGCTACCAATCAATTTTACCTCGCATGAACTAAGACCCGAGAGGCTGAACTCCCCAACATCCGATCCCTTGAAATTCTTTACCAGAACCTCGCCATCCTTGTCTCTGATTCCTGGAGAATCTCGAGCGATGTAGCTCGCTTGCTGCTGCTTGTTCGTTAACATAGAACCGGCATTTCCAAGCCCTAGGTCCTTAGACTCCGATTTTGTGTCTTTCTTCGTGCCTTTGTTCTTGAATGAGAATTTCTTTTTAGGTAGCAACTCGGAATTCAAATCCTCGAGGCTTTGCTTCAACTCCGAAATCGATTTGAGTGAAGCTCGTACCTCATACGAAGGCAAGAAGTAAGAGGTTTCGGCAACGAGCTTTTCGAGGTCGGAGATTGAGGCGGAAATCCCGTCGAGGTGAGATCTGACTTGAGAGGGCTCCGGCGGAGTGAGGCGGCATTGGGCGAGGTCGGACTCGATTGCGCGCTTGGAGTCAGAAAAGCGGACGAGAAACGAGGTTGTGGAAGAGGAAGAAGAACCCGACTCCGATCTGCGGGTTATGGAGTTCTCTAAGCGAGTCTGATTGCGATTGGCGAGACGTTCAATAACTGAAGCGTGCTTCTTTTGGAGACTCGAGTCTGAAGGATGTGGAGGGATGGAATTAGGGATTGATGAAGCTCCATCGTCGTCCGCCATTAATGGGCGCAGGGAACTATACCCCCAATCTGCAGACTGCGTAATTGAAGTTTTATGTGAAAAATGAAAATGCCGACGCTCTGTTTAAATCCTTTTTATTTTCTGATTATTTTTATTATTTTTATTTATTCCAAACTTCCAATTGTTGAGTGAAATTTTACTTCCTTTATTTGTGTTTTAACATTTATTAAAAAAAATTTGAAATTTGAAAATTGATTTTTTAGAATTTAAGTTGATTAGATGATTATATTATATTATATATATATATATATGTATTTTGTAAAATATTATTAAATTTATTAAGATGTTTTTTTAACCGAAATTATATTGAAAATGAAAATTATTCATTAAAAATATTTTTTATATGAATAATTGTTTTAAAATTATATTAAAAAATAGGAAAAAAATCCTACCAAGCTAGACAGCCAAGCAAATTTATTAATCTCATACAAATAAATAAATTTTTTTAATTAAAATAGGTCGATATCTATCTACCTGTCGATCGATCGGACGGATGGAAGGGAGAAGAAAAAAGAAATAAACAATTAAGCAAGACTTTACCTTACAAACTTGTCTGAGCAAGCTAGTCGATTGAGCAAGTGAAAAGTTTGAAAAAGATGGAAGAGCCCTTTTACTTATCTTCATAATTTTTTATAAACTAATTACACCTCTTCGATTATAATTTTAATTCGACAAAACTTTGATTTGAAGTATTTGTACCCTCGTGTGTTGATTTTTTTTTTTTTTTTTTAAATGTGACATGGTTCCTAACGTTAATTCGATTCAATTTTCTTTTACCAAGTAAAAATTTAATATCATAAAAGTTTATAGATATCTCATCCAATTAATTAAATCAACCCGAATTACAGTCGATTTGATTTGATTGACAATTGGACTGCTATTCTAAATCTTAATCTAAGATTTTGGCATGGTTTTTTCATCCAACAGCGTTATAAATTCTCTGCCCAAGCTATCATCATAAGACATACAACAATATCACAATGGGAAACCCATATCAGAAACTCCCAATGGATTGAAAGAAGGAAAAAAAAAAACCCTAATATCTTGACTTTATATAAACTACAAAGAGCATGAAACTGAATATTAAGTCCAGCCAAGGCTGCAAGTGCCTTTGATATCTGACTAATGATTAGCAGAACCAACAGTCCCCCCAGTTAGAAGCATGAGTCTCAGTTTAGGAACAATATTTTCGGCTGTTACGAAGTTATAATGGCCTCATGTTTGAATGTTCGATATAACAGATGCTCGAAACGACTCTTCGTCGTGTATCAGAGGTGGCATACTCCACGATCCGAATGGATGTGCTGACACCTTACCACCTGATTACACGTCAAAATGATTCCATATGCTTTCATATATCAGGAACTAGTTCTTTAAGATTTTAGGACTCAATTACCTTCTTTAGTCGCCTCTTCACATCTCCTTTGGTAAAGTGAGGATAAATGAGGATCCAATGCTTTTAATAGTCTGTCATACTTTTCCTCAGCCTCGCTTACAAATTTTACCTGAAAATCACTACCACATAAACTTAGTACTCAGAGTCAAACACGCTGTACAGCCTGTATGTATGCCGCTTGCCATGTACAAATTTAATCCTTCAACTTTCAACTTTGATCTTGATGTTCATTTAGTTTTCCAGTTTTAAGAAGTTTCAATTATATTTGAATTTTAAGCTTTTTAGCTGTGATTCAAGATGAAATGACGTTAACATTCGAACAATAGTCAAATTTTAAAATTCAAACTTTTTATAGTATATGAGTAAATAAGTCGATGTATCAAAGTTCAATGACTAAATTTGTAATTTAACCTAAAAAATGAAATGTTATGAAGTTAAAATACAAACTATGTATTCCCAAGACAACTCAGAAATTCCAAGTTGATGAACAGAAACTAGAATCGATGAACTCAACCATATACATCATGACAACTTATAACATCATAACTACTCTTTGTTTATAAAATTAAAATAAAATTATAATTGGACAAGGTTCATGATTCTTGGAGCTAATTCAAGAGTTGGATGTTTATTCCATGTCTCGTGCAGAAAAGGATTTATTACATACTTGATATCTGATCATGTTGCTTCAAAAATCAGATGAATAATAAGAAATTAAAATAAGGCTACCTAAACCACTCACCAGCGCAGTTGGAGCTGAAGCTCCATATATCCGGACAAACATGCGCAGAATATTGAAATTATTCTCTAGTACATCATCCTACACGAAGATCTCAGCTCTTAATTGCAGCTAAAAGGGAAAGAAAATCTATTAGCAAACAGAAATCCGTGTTTATTGATAAACTCACCTCATAATCAAACCTATAAGAAAGTCATCGAGTCAACCCAGCATCAAGGGAGACCAGTGTTATGCTTACCAAATGAATGTATTCAGATTAATTATCAGTAGACAATCAATTCGGGAGACAAAAAAGGAAATTTGTTCGACGAAGTCAAAGAGTGCAGAATAGATAATACTTACAAATCGTCAGCTATCTCAACTAGCAATTCTGAGATTGAGAGAAATTCCATATGCAAGTCATTAACCTTCACAAAACTTCAGCACAACACGATCAGACTAATAATACAAGGTACATAATAGGTAAGAAATATTTGCAAAACTAACATGTCAGCTAAAACTAAGGAAGTACAGTTAATTTAGAATATTTACAATACTACAGAACACAAGAATGCAGTCCATATTAGGCTCGTAATTCGACCACTGGAAATCCCCAGATATTGAAGTTTTACATCAGTAAAACTTCAGATCTAAATGTGAACATAAACAGAAAATACAATATTACAGGTAGGACTAGTAGTACATATGATGATTACTAAACATTATTGTGAGATCCCACATCGGTTGGGAAGGAGAACGAAACACCCTTTATAAAGGTGTCGAAACCTCTTCTTAACAGACGTGTTTTAAAAACCTTGAGGGGAAGCCCGAAAGGGAAAACCCAAAGAGGATAATATCTGCTAGCGGTGGGCTTGGGCCATTACAAATGGTATCAGAGTCACACACCGAACGATGTGCCAGCGAGGAGGCTGTTCCCCGGAGGGGGTAGACACGAGGTGGGTGCCAATAAGGACGTTGGGCCCCGAAGGGGGTGGAATTGGTGGGGGTCCCACGTCGATTGGAGAAAGGAACAAGTGCAAGCGAAGATGCTGAACCCTGAAGACGGGTGGATTGTGAGATTCCACATTGATTGGGGAAGAGAACAAAACACCATAAGGGTGTTGAAACCTCTCCCTACAAACGCGTTTTAAAAACCTTGAGGGAAAGCCCAAAAGGGAAAAGCCAAAGAAGACAAAATCGGCTAGCGGTGGGCTTGGGCCATTACAATTACCACAAGTACTTCAAGAAAAGTAGATTATTAAGCTTCAAAAATGAAGGATTACATGGGATAACAACCGCATTCAAGTTGGATAGATAATTACCTTCTCTCCTCTCAACTGATACAAAAGAAGATTCAACACTCTATAATCAAATGATTTCAGATGAATAGCCCGCATTACATCTTCAACAGAGACCTAAACAAAATAGTTGGGATCAATCATGTGCACAAGCAGTCCCTCCATGAATAAATAATAATAAAGTAAGACTACAACAACTACCTTCCCTTTGCTCGCCAATGCACCGCATAGGTGCCTTTCCAATGCCCAATACTCCTCTCCAGTTCTTAGTTCATGGATCAATCTTGGCATGAAACAAACATAAAAGTCAATTAACTATCATTCAAAGTATGTCCCAATTTCTCTCGTGGCAGAGACCATGGATTGGAGCAAATCATCAAACCTTTCTGTCAATAAGCCATGTGATTTATGGAGATTAATAAGAGGTTGAAATGGATCAGATTTGATAGCACTTAGAATCCTAGTGCTCCTTTCATTTGCTTCCTAAATCTCAGTGTCAGTATCGAATGTGAAAGTTTGTCAGCTATATGCGAGTACGTAAATGCCATGTTTTACACTATCCAGTATTAACACCTGAGATTCTCCGAAAGTGGATCCACCCAAAGCTATCTTCTCGTTCAAAGTGTCCAGCTGCAGCATGTAGATAAAATCACTAAGCACAAACAAAACAGAACCCAAGGTCATTGAGATCATATTAAAGACAAGACTAGGTAACAAAGATAGGGGTGGCCATCAGAAACCAAAAAAACTGAGCCAACCGATCAAAACTGGCCAAACGGACTTCAGTTGGTCGGCTTAAGGATACCTGTCAATAGGTTAGCAAAACTGACCTGTTAGTGAGCCCAATAAGTGCTCAAATCAACCGAAGGTTAAAAAAAATGTGTGTAACAGCGTGCAGCACTGCTGCAACAGCTCCTTGGGGAGACAATTATAATTATTAAAAGAAGTTAATTAAAAAAAAAATTTCCTGTTCTAACGTCTCCTTCTTTCTCCGTTTCTCCTTCTCTCCTCCTTTCTTCTCTACCTATCTTTTTTATCTGCTTCTTTTCTTTCTTTTTCTTCTCCTTTTCTAACATGAGGAAGCTCTATCCCATGCACTGTGTCAGATGTTCTTCTGATATACTGTAACGTCTTTCTATGGATTGAAAAGTCAGGTTGTTTCTTTAATTTCTTAGTTCTAACAATTCAATGTGTATGACGATGAGATTTTAATTTCAGCTTTGGGTTTACCACATATGGCTCTCAGGGTTTTTGTTCTTCCAGAAGCTGAAAATTTTCATTTTCTAACACTATATAATACTATTTCTACACAAAAAACAGTTTAAGAAACTAGACAAAATATGAATCACATAGGTGCTGCATGCATCTGGTAGAAGAGTTAAACATCCTCCAGCGTATTAATCATTGAAGAGTTTTTTCTTTCCTACTGCAACATTATCCTTGGAAATTTATACACAGCTAATTTTCCACCAAAAACAATTAATTTTGAAGAACAGAGTAGGACATCACCTGATATATGTAACTTTCAGTAAATGAAAGAATGGGAAAGTATTTGAATACACATTGAGGGTTGTTTACATCCATTCCGTGAAACATGAAATAAGATCTGAACTGCAAAATGTATTTTAATGTCAGCTTGTTGTATGGAAGAATTGTCATAGCCTAGGTTTGCTAATGCAAAAGATTATAGACATAAAAGAATTATTTTTAAGGAAAAAGACTAAAGGCCCGAACAAAAAAAGCATTATAGCAAAAGATTCTAGACATAACAGAATTCTTTTTAAGGAAAAAGACTAAATGCCCAAACAAAAGAAGCATTATAGCAAAAGATTCTAGACAATACAGAATTGTTTTTAAGGAAAAAGACTAAATGCCCAAACAAAAATAGCATTATAGCAATCGTTTGCCTTGATACCTGAATTAAACAAGAACAAAGGTTACAAAATTGGGAGAGGTGATAGACATCTCCCAGGCCCACATTATGACTTACAACAATAAATAAATAAATAACAACTTCCCAGTTTAGATCATAAAAAAAGGAGGAAAAAAATCATTGAAAAGAAAGTACATCAATTGGACATATTAACCTCTTTGAAGATCATGTTTTCAAATCTTACCGATTCAAACATCAATAATTCAACACATATTCTCCTACTCAATTTCCACTCCATGTAACCATCTTCTAAACCTGAGATTCCAAGGTGTGGAGATGGAACGCCAGCAGTTTTTTGCAAAATCAGCAAGAATGAATTCTTAGGGGAGCACCTCCAAGTCCATCACCAAGTCCATCTCCAAGTCCCTCAGATCAATTAACCTTTGAAAACCCTAACTTTTCTCCATTAACTGATTACAAGGGAAATATTTTCATAAAGAGTCCTGCACTCAGCTAATTTGAAACCACTTAGCTTTGGAAGAAAGAGGGCTGAAACCCCTAAGCTTTGGAATAATGTGGGGGCAGCAGGGAAGAACTGAACCAACCCAACTCGTCCACTCCATGTATGTAAATATGCCCATATTCCATAAGAGGCATATTCAAACTAAGTCTCCAAACACCTTGAGCTAAGAAAGCAAGATTTTTTTGGGTTTAAGCTGCCAATGTCGAGACTGCAGGAACAAGTAAAGAAAAACATAGCCCACATCACTAACGGAAACCTCTCTCACAAGCCACCCCATCCCATTGAAGAAAGAAATCCATTACTGAAGTGAGTATCTTCTTGACTCTGCCAAGGAATTTTACCCACTAGGGCTACAAGATTCTGGCCATTGGAAGATGCATTTCATTTGAACATCTTTCAAGAACTCCAACAGAGGAACAAGAAGAGATCGGACTTCATTCATTTCTCTTAGGAAGTTTCCTATTGGAATAGTCTTTAATCAGAGACAAGAAAGACTTCCACAGGTTGGAATCAAGGATCCATCTTTCCTGCCACTGTTTTCTGACTTCAGTATTTACAAGAGGAGCCTCTTTCATTTAAGGTCATTTCAACCCAAAGCACACAACGAGAGTTCTGAGATTTTTTAAATAACTTAAATTTCCTCATGAAAAAGCACCTCCCTCACAACTTCCATCAACAAGTAAAAGCATGTTCTAAAGAAAAGGAAACATAGTTTTTATGAGCACCCTCCAAAATTTTGATTCCACTTTTCCCCGAATATAGCAACAACCTCAATGCTCAAAACCTTATGCTACCACACACTTCCACACTGGAAAACATGAATTTGCAATGCTCCAATGTAAAAGGAAAAAATTTAAGGATAGATATACTCAAAATTATCATCTTATGCGTTCTTTTTTCCTTCTATACGACATTTGTAACAAACGACAAGCTTGGTAATATTTTAAAAATGTGAATCAAGCAAAAAAGGTCGTGACAATCAAAGGGGAACTACATGGTTAAAAATTAATAATAAAAAAAAAAAAGGAAGAAAATAGTATTTTGTAATTACTGCACCTTAACAAAAGAAAAGTAGTACAATTTAAAGATTGGATTCTGATTTCCTTTATATATTAGTAGCATCAATGTGGCACACGATGTCAATTTTTTTACATTCAACAGAAAAAAGAAAAAAATTATACCATGCACTTACAAAATCTTCGAGCGAAGAATTTGCACGCTGCATTGCATCCAAGCCAACCATAGCCATTTCCCCACAATAGTTCATGGAAGAACCAAAATCCAGCTTATTGTCACTATAAGGCTGCAAAGTGGTTTCCATCTCCTTTCCCCTATAGCCTAAAACAAATTGAGCCATGAAAAACAATCAATAGCAAGGCCACAAGATCCACAACAGATAATAAAATCTTTCTCCAAGAGCAAACATCAATGTATACCCTAACACACAGCAATAAAAACAATCATTCTACAACTTTTCTTAGTTTGTTGACCTACATCCTCTGATTATTTAGAGCATAAGAATAGAGTACCTCCATCGCCAAGCAGCAATGATGCCTCACCAAGAAACTCTTCTGAAAACTGTGGAACAAAAGAAAAGTTGATGGCAATTGTAGATGTAAAGTCCTTCCAACAATTACAGACACTAATAAGATCAATCAAATTCGTCAGTGGCGTTGCTTACACTCACCTTCGGCATGTATTCAGAAACCAAATTGAATTTATCTTCAAAGTCGAGCTCTCCACAAGGTTTCACCTAAAATACAATTCAATTATCAAACAAACTCACATCAATATGGAAATTCATCAAAACCTTTATTCAAATTTTCAATAAGGAACTTTAAGATCGTAAAGCAGGGATTATCTTAACGAAGAACGTACCAAAAGGAGAACGAAATTAGCAATGAATTGATTGGAGGAAGATGAAGAAGTCATAGCTATTCCGTGCGACTCCATTGACGTAATGAGTTTCTGTACTTGTTCTAGTTTCCTTAGTTCTTCCATTGTTTTCCCTCGTCTCAGTTCCTTCACACCCAGAAAATGAAAACAATAGCGAAGCCTGAAACGTCACAAGGGGGCCGCCCAAGTTCGAAACTTCGCGCAATTTTTTATTTTTCATTTTTAAGTAAGCGAATAAATGGCCAAGCCATTATTATGAATAGCGAACGTTAAGGTAATAAATTAGACTAAAATACCCTTCTACTTTAATCAAATAAATCAACCTTCAAATTAAGGGATAATTATACCAAATCAAACTAACTAAATATTGAAAGCAATAATAAATAAATAAATAAATAACGAGTTCACTCCAATTTTGATACTCTCGCATTCACACCCATAAATATATATTAAATAAAGAGGCACAAAGATTTACGTGGTTTGGAGATAATAAATTTTCTTATCTCTACGGGTGGTAGCCAATCACTATAATTAAAGTGTTTACAAGTGTTTTTTTGTAGTCTCTTTTATAAAGTTATTCTCAATTGCTCAAGACAAATACAAAATGACAATGACTCCATATCTCAAAACAATGCAACCGCCTAACCAGCTAATTCTCATACATTAATTAGAACTAAATAAGAGTTAACATAATAAAGCTACCTACCTGCCAAAACAATACCAAATGAAGCAACAAATTTCTGTAGAGCCTAAATGGGCCGCTGAATATAGTTGGGTCGTGAGGTGGAGCAACTCTCTGGGCCCAACGATTTCGATTCTGTGCAGGCAGTTCTACGCATCGAGGAGATTTCTAGAAACGAAGGCGGAATTGCGAGCGAAAGGGAGATGGAGGAAGAAGAGCACGAGGTATACGGTGGAGAGATCCCAGTTGAAGGGGAGATGGACGGAGACGTTGACATGTCAGTCGCCGACGACGACGCCGTCAAGGTTTCCATTCGTTCTCTCTTTCTGTTTCTCCTGCTTAGGAAAAAAAAAACGGAAGAAATAATTGTTGTGATTTTTGTTTCTTTGTTCTTTGTGATCGTGTATGCGTTTCAGGAGCTTGACGAGATGAAAAAGCGGTTGAAGGAGATGGAGGAGGAAGCAGCGGCTCTCCGAGAAATGCAGGCCAAGGTTGAAAAAGAAATGGGAGCCGTCCAAGGTCGTTTTCTTATGATTACGTGTTATTGTTTTCGTTTATTAAGCCTTTAGTAATGGAATTTCTGAATTTAATTGGTTTCGTTGCTGTGATATTGTAAGCGATATGGAAGAAACCATGATTTTGGATGATATGGGTGAACAAATTATGATTGTGATTTTAGTGATATTTACCTGTCATAGTTTCGCTGATTTGGATGAACAAATTATGATTGTGATTTAAGTGATATTTACCTGTCATTGTTTCGCTGATTTGGATGAACAAATTATGATTGTGGTTTTTGACAGAAACCAAAATTTAGTTATCCGATCATGTTGGTTGGAAGTTTATTATTTATATCTATGATTGTTATGCTTGATGCAGATCCTGCTGGTACATCAACTAGTCAAGCAGGCAAGGAGGAGACTGACTCACGATCTGTATTTGTCGGCAATGTGAGAAGAAAAATGTCCCTACCGATGTTCTTTAGATTCGAGAAGCTTTTTAGTTGTTTGATCTTTGAAAAAATGTTGTTGAAATGAGAAATTTCTGCAAAAAATTCAAAAAGAAGGAAAGAAAGAAAGAAGAAATTTGTGAATGATGGTTGAAAGACTGGTTTAATGGGAAAAATCAGTGAGAAAAAGAAAGAAGGAAAAAAAAAATCTGAAATATCAAAAAACCATTAGTGAATTGTAGCATTTAGGGAAAGGGACTATTTCTAGTTGAACTTATGCTGTTGAAAGGCATGTGCTCTGGAGGCTGGAACTGTTAGATGTGGAATAACGATGTCGATGGTTCAGCTACAGTATGCTAGGGGTGTCTCCGAGGAAGCAGAGGCATTGTCATTTGTGTCTCACAAATGAGCCATTAAGGACAAGGCGAGGGTGTAAGATCATCGCTTTTTTGTGGCATTATTTTTCAAGTTTGTGCTTCGTTTGACCCAGTTAGACCAAGTATAGGATTTTAATGCATGCATTTCCCCTTAGCCAGTTACCTCTGAAAGAACTAAGAAGATATTAACTTATTAATCTAAGACTTTTCCTTTTAGTTAGAAACTCAACGTGTCATCTTCGTGCAGAGAGTCCATGCTTATTTCATTGTTAGATTGCAAAACTATGTGGACTTATAAGATTAATGTGGGAAATCTTCTACGTTGAAGAATAAACACCTCATTCTCAATCATTTCTAATATAGAACTGTTTTGAACTTCTTGTAATGGATTTCTTAAGCATGCATCTGTTATGTGATTCTCATGCCTCTAATTGAATGATACTTCAGTGTTACATATGTTCATTTAAACATATGATTTGGATCTTTGTGGCAACTCGGTGATTTGGTTAGAGTTATTTTTCTTGGCATAGTTTATGATTCTCTTCCCAGCCCATTGGAAGTTTGTTACTTCTTAATGTTGCTCTGGTGTATCTTATCCCAATACTTTGTTGATTGTGTGTGATAAAGTGTTCTTCTCTCTTCTTCCCTTTTTTTTTTCTTTTATTTGTACAAAGCTTCTTGATTTATAACTTTCTTAATCATAAAAACATACAAACTTAATTCTTGCTGTCTGATCTTTTCTCAAAGGAATTGCTAATATATTTATGTAAAGAACAGAGAACTCATAGAACTTTCTATTCATTGTTGATGGCACTTTACCATTTTATGTTTAAAGCTCTGTTTCAAGAATCGAAATCCTTGTGTTTGAAGGTTGACTATGCATGCACACCCGAAGAAGTGCAACAGCATTTCCAATCCTGTGGTACTGTCAACAGAGTGACCATTTTAACTGATAAATTTGGTCAGCCGAAGGGCTTTGCCTATGTAGAATTTCTTGAAGCTGATGCTGTTCAAGAGGCCCTCCTTCTGAATGAATCAGAGCTTCATGGACGGCAACTGAAGGTGAGTCTTTCATTTTTCTCGGTCTTCGCCAAAAAAAAGAAAAAAAAAAAGTTTCTGGCTCATTGGTTTGGTATGAATGTAGAGATATCATGCCTTTATTATTTGCTGCCATGATCCATTCCAGGTTTTGCCCAAGAGAACAAATGTTCCTGGCATGAAGCAATATCGTCCCCGTCGTTATAACCCATACGTGGGTTTTAGGAGACCTTATGCACCACCGTATTTTTATTCACCTTACGGCTATGGGTACAGTTTCGAGTGTCTTAATCCTGCATCACCATGAAATTCTTGATTTATCTAATTTCTTGATCCTTCAATATCCCATTGCAGGAAGATGCCTCGGTTTCGAAGATCGATGAGGTACATGCCCTACTATTAGATGCTAACATTGTTCAGGTTTGATAAGTTTGTCCTGAACGAGTTGTTGGTACTTGCTTCTGATCCTTGAGAGAACACAGAAATGATGTATGTCTATATTTACAATCTGTTATTGCCTAAACTGTCTTGGAAATTCACAATAATCAATTACTTTGCCGTTTCAATAAGCTTTTGCTCTATGACACTCCCAGAATCCATTGCCCAGCTTTAAGTCGATAGAGCTTTTAGACGACGTATGAGAATGATTCTTGTAAATACTTATAGGAAAAAAGTTAAGCCCATTGTCAGAACTGAGCTGCATATGATGCTTGTCTGTGCGGAAGAACTTGGAATTGAACCATGCTTAATGTAACATGGGTAAGATTTATATTTCCCACAAGTTTTTTTGTTTTCAATTATATCGGCAAATGTGGGGCAGTTTGCATGCACAGGAAAACTTGTAAGGGCTGGGGTGTACATGGTCTGGGTTGAATTGAGCTGGGGTGTACATGGTCTGGGTTGAATTGAGTTGGGTCGAGTGATTTTTTTTTACCCAATCCAATAGTTCGGGTTGGTTGGATAACCCAACCCAACCCGAAAATTTTCACAACCGAACCGAACTCTCTGTTTTCAGGTTGGGTTATCAAAAAAAAAAAATTTAGTTTTATTTATCTAACATTTATAAATTATTTTACAATCTTAAATATATTAAAAGCTCACCAACACAATTCTATCTATAATTATTTTTAAAAAAAAATCAATAAAAAATAATTATTTTTTAAAAAAAAAATCAATAAAAAAGTGAATAACATTGTTCAATGTTAAGACAGAAATCAAATAAAAAGTAACAAAAAGTAACAAAAATATAAGAATAAATAAAAGTGAGTAACAAAATAATAAAAATATAAGAATAAATAAAAGTGAGTAACAAAAATATAAGAATAAATAAAAGTGATTAGCTTATCATGAAATTAAATAATTAATAAAAATGATTTGATTAGTTTTGAGATTATATAACAAAAATAAAAAATATATAAAAATAATTTAATTGAAATACACTCAATTTAAATTTATAGTATTAAAATATTTTAAATATAGATATATATATAAGAAATCTAGCATCAAACTTAATCAACTCGAAGCTTTTGCCCACAAATCCAAAATCGAACTGATTCAAAAAAATGAATATAAACCCTACCCAAAATGCTAATTCGACCTAATCCAACCCCCAAATCCTACCCAAAATGCTAATCCAACCCAACCTAACCCAACCCTTATAGTTCGGGTTGAGTTGATCCAGATTGTCGAGTTATGTGTGCACTCCTATAAGTGGCTTCTATAACTTTGTTAATCTATGATAGTTTCATATCCAAGTTTTAACCTTCCAAGTAAATTAAACACATTTGAGCCTATAATAATACTAACACTAAGTTAGTCTAATTTGAGAGTAATTTTTTTTTATTTTACCAAATTTGATTAAAATGTGTAAACATGAAATTGTCATTTTAATTCTTTTTAATTTTATAATTTTTTGAGTCTAACATGAAAAACTAATAACATAATATTTTGTGACGGTAGAAAATAAAAAAAATAAATAATGTTAAAAGTCGATTATGGACTAGAACTAATTTTAAAATTAATGAAAAAAAATATAGAGATTAAATTTAGAGATGACGAAGAAATCAGTTAACTTTTTATAAAAAAAAATAAATAAATAAATAAATAAAATAAAATAAAATAAAATAAATTAAGTAATTGTCGTTAATCCATATAATTATTTACTAAATCACGATTAAGATAGATTATTATTATTTAAGCTTATAAATGATTTACCTGTTTGAATAATGGCTATATTTGCGATAATTATTTAAAATTAATATTTTTTTTAATAAAAAACTATCCATTAAAATTAAGTAAATTATCATTAAAAATGAAAAGTTAAATATATGATTTAGTTTTAATGTAGTAGCATTCTTTTAATTTAATGATTATTATTTATAAAATTCAATTAACGCTTCAAAAAAAAAAATTCGAACTATCCCACCAAACTAGTTTACAAATATTAAGAATATTTAACGCTTATAAATATTTTAATATTTAAATTTTATGAAATTTTTGTAATAAGATATTTACGGGGAGTGCCACAGCGCCATGCCACTGGCTCGCCACTCTCTGGTCTTCTCAGACGCCTGTGTTGGTGAGGTCCACTGTTATCACCCGAGTGACCAACAATCTCCATTAATGGTAACTCTGCTTCTACCCATTTTCGTTCCTGAGAAGAAGCATTAAACATCTTCAACAAGCGACCTCTAATTCTCCTGTATTTCTCTGAAAATGTCATTGCCTTCTCAGATTCTCTTCAGATGTTCGAGCCATTTGAAGTTTTGTTGCTTCCCCAACTCGTTTCCTACAAACAACAGTTTCTTCTCTCTCCCAATTTCTCCTCGATCCCTCAATCAACTTCATCAATTCCATCTTCATGCACATAACAATTCAACCTCCCGCTTTCGGAGTTATTGTCAATACGGCATTGGAGCTTTCGAATCCGAAGACGTTGCGCAGAGTAACGACAAGGATGGTGGCGATTTCGATTTAGAATCGGTTCTTTTGTTCTCTGAATTGTTTTCTCTCTTTTCTTCGGCTGTTTTCTTGGTTGTTTTTGTTGTGAATTTCGTGGGTTCGAGTTCGAAGAGAGCGCTTAGGGTATTGATGGGTGATAGGGTTTTGATTTGGGGCTTTCCTCTGCTAGTGGCTACCGCTGTTCTTAACTCGTGGATTCGAAGACGACAATGGAGACGAATTTGTGGGGTAAAACGGAGCGGTGGGTTGAAGGTGGATTTGTTGGATAGGATTGAGAAATTAGAGGAGGATTTTAGGAGCTTGACGACCGTGATTCGGGGCATGTCTAGGAAGCTTGAGAAGTTGGGCATAAGGTTTAGGGTAACACAAAAAACTCTGATGGATCCAATTGTTGAGGTATTCTTATCTCTCTTTTTTGTTTGTGATCTGTGTTAATACTCATAACCAGTGGATTGAATTGCTTAATTATTCTCTGGGGTCAAACCTGTTTAGCATCAGTGTTCTTGTGGGTATATATATATATATATATATATTGATTCATGGGATGGAAATTATTGTATGGTGTAGATTTTTCATTGAGCTGTTGTTTTTGTTTTTGTTTTGTTTTGTGTTTCCGTTTTCCTGTAAGTTTGTTTTGTGTTTTTGTTTGTACGCTATTAAAGACGGCAGGTTTAGCTCAAAGAAATTATGAGGACACTCAAACTTCGGCTGTGCAAGAAGATGTTCTTGAGAAAGAACTCCTTGAAATACAAAAGGTCTTACTAGCCATGCAGGTAAAAGTTCAAATGATTATTATAAACTCTGTCGTTTACATTTATTACTTTTTATATGTTGTGTTAGGAATCACGAACTTTCACAATGGTATGATATTGTCCACTTTGAGCATAAGCTTTCGTGGCTTTGCTTTTGATTTTTTCAAAATGTCTCATACCAATGGAGATAGGGTTCTTAATAATCTTCAACAATCTTCCACTCGAACAAAATACACTACCGTAGAACCTCCCTTGAGGCCTCCTTCTCTGGAGCTCTCAAACAGCCTCCCCTTAATTGAGACTCGACTCCTTCTCTGAAGCTTTCAAACAAAGTACACCATTTGTTCAACACTTGAGTCACTTTTGACTACACTTTCGAGGCTCACAACTTTTTTATTCGACATTTGAGGATATTGACATGGCTAAGTTAAGGGCATGACTCTGATACCATGTTAGAAACCACGATCCTCCACAATAGTATGATATTATCCACTTTGAGCATAAGCGCTCATGACTTTGCTTTTGATTTCCCCAAAATGACTCATACCAATGGAGATAGTGTTCCTTATCGATAAACCCATGATCTGATCTTCTTCTTAATTAGCCAATGTGGGATTACTCCTCTCAATAATCGTCTGGATGGATGTATGAGATTGGATGAGGGTTCCTTGGCTTCAATGTGTTATATATACTTATTTCACAATCAATAGGCAAACTATAGACCAGCTTTTATAATTTTTTGAGGAATCCTTAATTTTGTCTTTGGACTAATATGCGATATGTTATTCGATTATGTATGCTCTTGAGATGATCTTTTTCATCTTGTGATTCTGAAGTTAGTCTTGCAAGAAAAGCAGGTTGATTTTGGTAAGATTTCATTGTTTGGTGTGTCGATTACGCAATATCGTTCTAAGAATGAGACTAAAGAATGAAGTTTGCTAAAAACTTATTGGAGTTTCTGCAATGATTTCATGTGTAGGAGCAGCAGCAAAAGCAACTTGAGCTGATTGTTGCCATAGGAGAAAAAGGGAAGCTGACGGAAAGCAAACAGGCACTTGATTAAGAACGAACAAGAATGGAAAGACGCAATTCTGCCAATGAGGATTCAAAAGAACGGGAAGCTTATGAAATCTGAGGTAGGATCCTCATAAAACATTTCCCATTCATTATCAATCTTTTTTGTTGTGATTTTAAGTTAGAACTTGCCTCTTCCTTATATTTATAATTGAAAAAAGCAGCAAATTGATTAATAGAAAGGAAAGGAGCATCCAAAACTTATGATTTGGGTTTAGTAGAAGAGCACTGAAATGGAATATCTACACAATAAGAAGGATTGTTTCTATACTTGTGTTCTTGTGGCTGCTGTTTTCAAGTTTTCAAGTTTTGGTTGAGCCTTTTGAGCAATGGTATGGACCATGGAATTTGGAAGATTCATAGAGCATGATGAAGAACTTGAATTGTCTAAGAGTCGTAGTTAAGAGTTGAGTGAATTTAGAGTCGAGACTTGGATGATCATGACATGAAAGTGTAGACAACCACCTACATTGGAAGTGAAAGAAGCAAAATGATATATTAGAAAAGAACGAACAGTCAGTGGAGCCAACTTGAGCATAGCTTTACTGATTAAGACATATGTTCTCAATCAAGAAGTTAGAGGTTCGAGTTCTCCCACTCCTTATTGAACTCAAAAAAACATTCCATGGTGAGGGACATGTTGGAAAGGTTCTAGATGCATTCGGGTTGAATGAAATTTTCATCTTTGAGTGAACATGTTAAGAATGATAAATGTAACCTTCGGACTTGGTCTGTCATTTAACTCGTTGAGTTTAAGATGTGATAATTATGGTACATAAACCCGTGTAGTCATCTCTACTTGAACAGTTGCATCCCATTGATATCAATTATATAGGTTAGATTCAACATACAGATACACTCGAAGAACCGCGTCCCATCTCGAAGGGCCTCATTCTGTCAACATCAATTGCGATCAGGTGATTCTTGAAAGCAGGTATGTTGAAGCATTGTGATTCAATAATAAAGATATATTTGACAGAAAAGAAACTGATAAATACAGAGTGGTAAGCTCTACTTGGTATGGCATGAATTTACAGTTTTACAGAAAAAGATGAGAAAAGAATTCACTCAGGTGATTGTTCCTTCTTCGGCGGAACGGTCCTCCTCCTCAACATCAAAAGATCCCCAAATCTCCTCATCAATGCCTTCTTCTTCCTTGAATTCCTATCACCATCCAACTCATCCAGGTTCCCCTCTTCCAACGGATCAAGGTCCTCATCATTCATCATCTCCCCATCTTCACCACACAGAGAAAATGAGTGCTTCCTTTCATGTTTCCTGGGCGAACCAGGCGAGTCGACATCATCGAAAATCGACCCTTTAAGCGTCTCCTCCATTTCAGGCTCTTCCTCCTTCTCTTTCTCTTTCTCTTCTTCCACCTCCTTCTTCTTCTCTGGCATGATTCTCATGTCCAAGAAACTGAAACTGAAAGCCTTCCCTAGCCTTCTCCCAAATGTATCTTCCTTCTCCACTGGAGTTGGACTTGGATTCGGATTCGGAGTCGGACATGGACTCAATGGTGGCTTCGATTTTGTAATCTCCACTTGCTCCTTGCCTTCTTCTTTGCTCTTGCCTTCCTCTTTGCTCTTGCCTTCTTCTTTGCTCTTGCCTTCCTCTTTGCTCTTGCCTTCTTCTTTGCTCTTGCCTTCTTCTTTGCTCTTTCCTTCTTCTTTGCTCTTGCCTTCTTCTTTGCTCTTGCTTTCCTCTTGGCTCTTGCTTTCCTCTTGGCTCTTGCTTCCATCTTTACTTTTGTTTTCTTCTTTCTTATTTGCATCTTCTAGCAACTGCTTCAGCTCCTTAATCTCCTCTAGAGCTGCAGCTTGGCTGACTTTGAGAGTTTCATTCTCACTGCTGACAAAATCCAATGCATTTTCCTTCTCAGCCAAACAGTCCTTTAGCTGTGAATTCTCCTCTATTGCAATCCCTGCAGCTTCCTTGGCCACACTGGCTTCATTTAAGGCCTGTTTTAGAATGTCCCTCACTTTCTTAATCTCTTCTTTTGATGTCATGTTCTTAAGCTCTGCTAGCCTCAGGGCATCCATCAAACGGCGATTCTCTTGCTGGGCATTGTATCTGTCTTCTTCAGCACTTCTTATGCAGTCCACTAAGCTTGTTTCTCTCCCACTCCATGCCACTAGAGACTCCTCTGCTTCCAATCTCAGCCTGTCCACTGTGCTCTTGTACAAATCTGCATCTTTTCTTGCATCTTGCAACAAAGATTTGTACTTTTCCTCTGTGTATTTCAATGTTGTTTTCAAATTCTCTGCTTCATCTTTTGTTTGCATTAACTCCTCTTCGACTGTGCTGTATTTTCCCTTCAAATGACTCGCTTCTGTTGCTACCTCTTTCAATGCCATTGCTAGATCATCCATGGCTTTCTTGTTGTTCTCCTCTGCCTCTGTAGCCAATTTTAGCTCGTTGTTTAGCAGAAACAGACGGTGTTTTGTCGATTCGAGCTCGGATTTCATCCTGTCGAATTCATTTTTTGTTGTAATGCTCTGTTTTGGATTGTAGATGTAATTGGTGATGGAAGAACATTTCTCAAGTTTTTCACGAAGGGATTGGATCTCTAGTTTTGATTCTTCGAGCGAAATCTTCGTCTGTTCGAGATGTTTTGTCTGTGCAGATAGCAAATCCTTGGTTTTCTCTTCTGATTCTTTGGAAATTTTGTACTTTTTTTCGAGTTCTTCAATTCTTGTTTGGCTTCGTGATTCAGAGCGTTTCAAAACAGAGAGCTCCTTTGCCAGCTTTGCCAAATTAGAATCCTTCTCTACCAATTTAAGCTCCAATTCCTTAGCTTTTCCCATCGCCAAGTCTCTGTCTCTCTTCACAGATTTCAACTCGGTAATGAGTTCTATATCGACCTCGTCCGCCATTTTCTGTATCTCATTAAACATTAGAAGCTCTGTTAAATCTATTTCGTCTTCCTCTGCCACTACAGATTTATCATCTGTCTCCTCTGTTTGCATCTCAGAAACTCAGCAGATCAAATCTCCTGAGGAATGGGAAAAACAAACAAAACCCAGATTTTCTAGAAATCAAAATTTAATAGTAAATGAAAAGAAACGAAGAAAGAATCAAAATTGAAGAACAGGAAGATTCAAGGAAGAAGAGCAGGTCAAATGGCAGAAAACCTGAATCATTCAAACCAAACTTCTGCAAGAAAGGGAAACGTACCGAACCGGAGTTGGTGAAAGAACAGGCAATTCCATTCAAAGGAAAACGATAGAGAATTGGGAGATTGCAGTAAATCTGGGAGAAGAAGATGAATTGAGAAGAAGAAATTTGGAGAGAGAGAGAGAGAGAGAGAGACAGAAGAGAGGTTTGGAAATGAAGGAAAACCCGATGTTGGCGGTGTTCCAGTAAACCAACCAGCGGGCTGAAATCTTTGTCGATGCTAAAATATTAAAATGCTAGAGAAGCCAATTAGGCCTTTTTAAGTAATGGTATAATAATTAACCTATTTATAATTTATTTTTTATAACTATCTTTGATAGAGGGGTGGATGGAAATCAACAGATAGGTGCCTTATAATGAATTTTCAAAGGCAATTACAAAATTTGTCCTTATCATTTAATTGAAACGAGAAAAGTAAATAAAATTAAAAGATTCAAGTTGTGGGGAGAAAATGAATTTGATTTATATAATGAAATCAAAGGATGGTAATATTATGTATATACTTTTCCAGGCTGCAAACGGAATTTTCCTCTTTGAAACAACCACCAATTTTATGACCAAACGGTGGCTGGCTTTTTATTAGTTTCCAGTTTCTTAATTGCTTGATTTTGTTGAATCAATTAACAAGTACATTGCACACCACATTTTTTGGTACGTAAAAGCACATTTACATAATATTAAGGTGGTCCAAATCAAATTCAGCTTTCATAAACCAAACTTATCATGTCAGGACGCACCCTTCAATGTATAACCACTCGAACTTACCCTTCAATGTCGGACTCCAATATCATTGGTAATCACTCGAACTTACCTTCATAATAACTCACTACATATCACCATCACGCTACTGACACACCACTCAAAAATATTCTCCACTACACACCACTCAAAAATATTCTCCACTATAGTTCACCCTTGTAATCGCCCAAACCCATAAGACATTTTAAAAGAAGTGATTTTCACGCTCATGAAATATTTGTTTCCCCTACTCAACAGGATCTCACAACCTAATAGTTCAGTTATATTTATTTGCTGCTATGGTGGGTAATTGATTGCACATTAGATGAGGTGAGAAAATCTCACAATGAACACAAATCAATGACATACAGAATTAAGCTAACAAATCGGGGCACTAAAAATTAGAAGTGATAGGTTATAATCCAACAAATATTAGCTTGGCTGCATACCCCAACAAAACACAATCAATGAAATACAGAATTAAGCTCCTCCATCCTTTAAAAAGAAGAACAAGAAACAAATCATCCAACACCTAGACTATAACATCCACAAGGCAAAGCATTATGCCTTTTCACCATATTTCACTACAAGTTTTCTAGTATGGCTATCTACCAACGTTGCTAAAAACAAAAAATAAGAACCTTCCAACATCCATCATCAATTGGGTCTTTAATCACCTCCTCCTTGCAGCCAATTCCATCCACCAAACAACAATACATCACCTTCTAAGCACGTTCGCCCCGGATTCTCCGAGCCAACTGGATATCCTTGGGCATTATGGTAACACGCTTGGCATGAATCGCACAGAGATTGGTGTCCTCGAACAACCCAACAAGGTATGCCTCTGCTGCCTCTTGCAAAGCCAGAACAGCGTGGCTCTGGAAACGCAGATCAGTCTGCACCCAAGCAATTAACAACCTTAAACTTTCTATAACAAACCCAGCAATGTCACCACAATGAAGGAAATGAAACATATAGCAATGCATAGAAGAACATACCTTAAAGTCCTGGGCAATTTCACGAACCAACCTCTGGAAAGGCAACTTCCTAATCAAAAGCTCAGTACTCTTCTGATACTTACGAATTTCACTGCACGAGCCACAAGGAATGAGTAAGCTAATTGCTTGATCCAAATGGCAATCCCCTAGAAGAAAACCCGAGGAAACAAAAAACCATTTATACTCACCGAAGAGCAACTGTACCAGGACGGTATCTGTGGGGTTTCTTCACCCCTCCTGTGGTTGGCGCGGACTTACGAGCAGCCTACATACAAGAATTCATGCAAAACGTAAACAAATAGAGAACTAAGAAATATCACATTAAATTCATCAACAAAACCTCATGCAAGAAACTAGAACAAACCTTAGTGGCAAGCTGCTTCCTGGGAGCCTTTCCTCCAGTAGATTTACGGGCGGTTTGCTTGGTACGGGCCATCTGCACAGAAACAAATCACAATTCTGAATTTCATTCAACTCTGAGAGCCAATTTCATTTATTAACAACTATCAAATTCACTTGTGAACAAATAACACGAATACCTAATGATATCAACTATCAGGAAAGAGTTGTAAAAGCTTGCGTATCAGGCAACCTAGGAAAATCCGAAAAGTTCTAACAACTCGAAACCTAAATCTAGATACACAATCGAAAGCGGAGAACAACGAAGAATGAGACGAATTATCGATGAAAACAGAAAGATCGAATACTCAGAAGAAGAGAATTCAAAAACAATCTAGAACCCTAATCCTATTACCTAGTAAGGAAATCAGAAAAAACAGAAGAAAATAGAAAGTAAAAGAGAATTTAAGACCAACCTGATTTCGCTTCTTCGGGTTTTTTCTTCTCTCTCGGGCGGATC